GCAACAGCAACAGCACCAGCAACAACAACAACAACAACAACTCCTGCTGCTGCCTACTACTAGTGCTACTGCTACTGCTACTGCTACTGCTACTGCTACTGCTACTGCTACCGCTACGGCTACTGCTACTGCTCCTGCTGCTGCTGCTGCTGCTGCTGCTGCCACTGCCTACTACTACTACTACTACTACTCCTACTCCTACTCCTACTCCCACTCCCACTCCTACTCCTACTCCTACTCCTGCAGCTGCTGCTGCTGCTGCTGCTACGATAACCACTACTCCTACCCCTATCCCTGCTCCACCCTAATCCTACTCCTACTCCTGCTCCTACTGCCACTCCCAGTCCCATTGCCGCTCCTACTCACTCCCACTGTAACTTCTACTAGTTACTAGTGCTGCTCCTGCTGTTACTGGTGCTGCTGCCACATGTTGTATATTTTTGTTTCTACCACTTCCGAGCAGCATCTGCAGCAGCAGCCCCAGCACCACTACCACCATACCGAGAAGCTCGCCTCAGACCCAAAATGCCGACTATAGGGGCCTTAATAATTCGAATAGGGTGTTGCGGGTACCTTTATGGTATAACTAGAAGAAGGAACCCTAGGAAATGATAGTAATAACGATTTAATTTATAATTTGGCTTGTATAGTACATCTCACCCCTCAAACACGAACTTCTTGAACGCTACCTACAGCCTCCATTGTGGTTCCTTTTGCCGGTTTAACATAACCAACGATATATTCAGGATCCAAAAAAGGTAACCCCAAAGCGGAACTGCAATGGAGACTGTAGGTACACCATGACTCTGAAAAGAACCCTAAACCCTAAACCCTGCCGGGGCAAGGGCTCCAGGTCTGCGAGCTCTGGGAGCGGATTGTTTTGCAGATATTCCTGGTTAGGGTTTAGGGTTTAGGGTTTAGGGTCCTGCCCAAGTCGGAGTTTCTAGATGTAGGGTGCGGTACTGATGCTCGAAAGATTAACGTTACTACCCAAAAGGGTCCATACATACTCCCATGATGGAATTAGGTCTTCCAATACCATTATCAGGATGGTCTTTTGTGGCCTGCATCCATATGGTAGTGTTTGTGGACCCCCTGGGTACCATTATGCAAATACATGTGTTTCCTTTCGATGTGGCCGTTATGATGAACTGCGTCTCTGCTCATGTTTTTGTGACATTCAATAAAGTCAATAAAGGACAAGCTTGGGGATTTGGGCGCCTGGGCCGTTGGACCTCACGTCAAGGTCGTCTGCATAAATTTAAGATGATGACCGTACGTAGTACGTACAGCTCAAGCTCATAGCCTGAATCCTTAAACTGCATACCCGTATGAGCAGCCATGCTTGATGCTACTTTCGCAGACTTGAGTCCTCAGGTCTGCCGAAGTCTTATTGCCAATCGTCACTCTGATTGCTACTCGCAGTTACGGTTTCGACTCTCGCGCTCGCACAATACAGGCGAGGCTTCAGGTAAAGTTTAGTCGGTGTTTGAGTGTCGAGTTCTACGGTATGTACCAAGCATTCTCCATACTCCTTCGGCATAGAATCAATGATATCGACCCTAATCATCCCTCAACTGTAGCCAGTAACACTCGTGGCGTCCCAGGCCCTGGCCGGCCCTACTATGCCTCTGTTCAGTCCAACCAGTTAAGTTCCTCATGTATGGACATGGCAAAAAGCCAAATGGCACCTGGCAACGGCCTGGTTCAGTTTTGCCGCACCTCGCTGCGTCTTCTTGCCCCGACCTAGTTTCGTCAAACACTGTTGAGTCGAATGCAGGCATGGGCAAGAATCCAGAATTCTATCACTAGGAATCCACAAATTTACGTTTACGGCCCTATAGAGCCTCTTGATTGAAGAAGCTCGCAGTCCTCGTGACTAAGTGAACCTTAACTCAATATTGGGGTCGCATGCGTATTATGTTGATATCACTTCGATCAAGCTTTAGGGCTCGTCTAGTCCCGAAGAAGTGTGGCACACTCACGGCTAGAATAGTTATGCCCCCAACGATTTCGTATCTGCCGCCTGTGGACGCAGCAGAAATGAAACGTGCACAGTCAGCCGCAGCCTGCCCACCTCGAAGAACAAGCTGGACTCCTTTACCCTCGCATGTGGGACGCCCTTCGAGCACAGCACCGAATTCTTGCGACTGACAAGGGTCTCTCCGACGTACATGAAGTGGTGGTAGTAGATGTCACCAAATCCGCCACATGCTTGCTGCCGAGGTGTTTGTCCATGGCTGGTAGCATGGCACCGTCTGGAACAGCACTTAACAAATTTACAGATCCAGTCCGCAGGCGGGAACGTTGTCACGATTGTCACATTGCCGCAGATAGAAGCGTTCCCGTTGTCCACCACAAGGGGAACCTGCTTACAGCATGGGCACTGGAAGTTGACAGGCATGATTCACAGGGCAGCTGCTTGGAACCTATTTTGAAACACTTTTTTCCTCGAGCCCATGGCAAATGGGAACATCATGCAAGCATGGGTTTCTCTGCTTTTTGCCAGTACGACATAAATCCATGCCAGAGCCCACTTGAGCCAAGCTGCAAGCAGGCTACACAACAGAACTAGGATCCTCCAAACCCTAATCACGTCCCTCCAAAGCTGAAAAAAAACAAAACCAAACCCTAAACCCATAAAGCCATAAACCCTAAACCCTAAACTTTTAAACCCTACATATCCCAGCACACATCGCAACATCAACTCTCCGAGCTCATGAGCTGCCCAGTCGGCGCCTCAAACTCCGCAGGCCAAACTTGCATGAGCTGCTCGATGTCGGGCATCCTGCACGGTCTAGGGCTCAGGGTCTGGGATTAGGATTGAGGCCGAATGGCTTCGATTGTCAATTTGTAGCGATCGTCAAACTCGGACTTGCCCCAAACCTGAATCCCAAAGCGCTTGCATTCTCGAATCCCCGGAACCCTTGGGACCCTGCATTACTCTCTAACAAGCTTCGGGAGGTGGAGGAAAAGGTCGGCACAGAGGTGATGCTGGAGATATAGAGGCCGAAAGCGTCTTGCTTCAAGGTGAACTGCGACATTCAAAGATTCCAAGTTGAGGCTATGTCGCTCCACCCCCGGCCCTGCAGCCTGAAACAAGATGCTCTGCAACCGCGACAAGGTGCTTTGGGTCTGTTTGCCCCGAACCCTTCGACCGCCCAAACCCTGAACCCCAACCCGAAAGAGTCCTTCTGGAGTACTGCACCGTGGGTGCCGGCTTCGATCGGTTCAGGCTATCAATGCGCTTCACCTTAGGGTCGAACGCGTGAGGTAAAGAATGGGTTCGGGGCGGTCTGGGCGTTATGATGGGTTTAGGGTTTCGAGGAACTGTTGGCTGTTGACCCCACATTTCCATGGCACTGCATGGTCTGCGCCTGAAGGTGTGCTCTGACTTTCGATATCCTCGCTTCCCGTTCCCCGAGCACCTGAAGTCCTGAACACAAATTCCGTCATGCACCAGTCGATAGTTATCCGATAGTCATGTCTCGTGTGGCAATAAGAGTAACTAATTAGGCAAGGCTGGTCTCAACAACCCAGCGACAACGATGCGAATCAGACCATTTTCGCGCTCCTCATAGGTTCCGACATTACGACGCTTGCGTGTACTTTCGGTTCCACTCGCCCGCAGTGAAGGTGCGCTCCGGTGCTAAGGGTCCTTGGCGACATCTACTGTGAACATCGAGCACCCAATGCTCCACGTTCTGTTATAGAACCCTATTGTACCCTGAAGGGGGTAGGGCTTCTGCCCAGTTGTCGATCTCCTTGGGGTTCTTCTCAGCGTTCTCAATGGACCGTACCTTGCTGCAAGCGGTTTAGGGTTTAGGTGCAGTTGAAGGCTAGCTTCAGTACATACCTACTTACATACATACATACATACATACATACATACATACATACATACATACATACATACATACATACATACATACGTCCATACATCCATACATACATACGTCCATGCATCCATCCATCCATCCATCCATCCATCCATCCATGCATGCATGCATGCATGCATCCATCCATCCATCCATCCATGCATGCATGTATGTATGTATGTATACATATATGTGCATATCCTTTAAGCGAGAACTTGTCATTTCCTCGAGGCTGGGTGGATGACATCTCAAACAGTTGGAAAATTCATTGCGGATGGTTCACGCTGGGATTCCACACTAATTATACTTTGAAGCAGCAGCCAGCAAAGATCAACCTGGATGCTGCACACCACCATGGGTCCCTGTTTAAGTCCCCAATATAGTACGGCACCCTTACAGAACGGATTCCTCTGCTCCTCCCATGCTACTGTCGCATGCCGCTCTGCTATTGCCACTGCTGACTACTTCCACTTGATGCAACTACTGCCAACCGACATAGCAGAACACTCCGCAAAGAGCAGGCACACATAGCCATACTGGAACTCGGACTGAGACCCTTACGAATCGCCACACCCCTCAACGGACCCTGAATGCGTGCACAGCGCTAATGACAACATTCTCTTCTGACGCCCTAAACCCCGGAACCCTAAACCCCTAAACCCTACACCCCCAAACCCCACTAAACCCCTGAACCCTAAACCCCTAAACCCTAAGCCCCAAATCCTCAACCCTAAACGCGCTGAGTTCTCACGCCCGAAAGCGCAGAGCATAACGCTCCTCAAATATTATCTAGTCGGGCCAAGGCCCGGCCTAAGCACAAAAAGCGCAAGAACCTGTGTTCCTAAAGTTTAGGGTGTAGGGCTTAGGGTTTTTAATTTAAGTTACCAGCGAAAAAGTTCTTTCGTTAACCCCGAACCCTCGGCAAACCTTGCCTCCATTGGCTGAAGGTCCTGATTCTTGCTCAATGACCGCCTGGGGAAGAGGGTTTAGGGTTTAGTGCGAGCTTTCCAAGCCCTAAACCCTAATCGAACCCTCTAAACCCTACCTGTAACCGAAAAGACCTACCTTCTTAAGGAACGATATGTAGAAACCCTAACAAGGAGCCCGAAAACAGGTCGGGTCTTTTCGGTTGCAGCTAATCGAACTTTGGGGTTTTAGCCTTTGGGCTTAGGTTTTCGGGCTCGAGTCTTTGAGGGTTCTAGGGCTCATGGTCCTTGGGGATGCAGGGCTTCTATGGAGGGTTTAGGATCTAGCGGTTAGGGATTCTTCCGGTGGGTACCCAGGTGCCTGACCTCTTACATGAATCGACTCGCGTCCTTTATCGGGCTCGTGGGATTTGGGGTTCAGGGTCTCGGGCTTCAAAAAGATGCTTACAGGTGAAGGTTTAGAGTCTGGAGCTTAGGCTTTACGGTTCAGGGTCTAAGGATTAGTCTCTACCTATAGTCTCCATTGTAGTTCCTTTTTTTGGGTTTAACCAATATTATATTTAGGATCCTATAAGGTAACCCCCAAAAGGAACTACTTTGGAGCCTATGGGTAGGTAATTTCGAAACCAGCAGGACCCGGCTACACCAGGTTCTTCGGCTGCACTATGCAAGCCTATGGATTCCAGGTTGTGTTTAGGGTTCTGGGGCTTTAGGGTTTTAGGGTTTTAGGGCTTTAGGGCTTTAGGGTTTTAGGGTTTAGGGTTTTAGGGTTTTAGGGTTTTAGAGTTTTAGGGTTTTGGGGTTTTAGGGGCTCATTGAATTTCAATCGCAAGCGTCGTGTTCTGCAAGAGGAGCACAAAGTCGTTGGCAGTGAAGCGTCCAATGTCGTTCAGCAGGTAGGCGTCGCCTCGGTAATCGTTGCCATTGAAGGGCTTGACGCAAACCAAAGACTTCCCAGCCTCACCTAGACGGTACAATCCAACATTCACATGTAGGCTCTGGGAAGTGGCCCACGGTGCTTCCATCGCCGCTCCTTAGCCTTTCGCAGTGCATCACAGGGTCCCAGCGCCGGGTGTTTAAACCTCAAGAAGTGTTCCCACTGTTGCTTCTCGTCCTTCAGCTTCTCGTAGATGTCAAAATCCACGTAGATGTAGCCGGAGTTCGTGCGCTTCAGCGCACTCAGCTTTTTTTCGTTGGCTTCATTCCACATCGGCATCGTCTGCACTTTGCTGTATTCCTGATTTTCTTGCGGTATCTCTATCCCTCTTCTTGGTAGGGGAGAGGGGGCAGGGCAGGAATGGAGCTCGTCAGCATTCGAACCCCACCTAGGCATTGAACCCTTTGGCCGCAGAATGCTGCTTGCTCGTTAAGGTTGGCACCAAAGCCCTGAGCCTGCTAGGAGGTGGGGTTTCAAGATTGGGCTTCAGCGGACCACAGCATGCCAGAATTAGGTGCCGGGGTTGCCAGCGCTTACTGCTATACGGGAAGGGGCCCTTACGGTTGTTCTAAGCATGCTGGGCATTCCAAGACGAACACTGCCCCGCAAAGTTAGATCCCCCGAACTCCAAGTCATCCATAGGGACCTAAACAGCCCCCTCAACAAAAGCCATATAAGGTGTGGAAATCCCAGGCAGAGGAGAAACAGCTGACATTCACCAAGAAGCCCGGGCAACGAAACCCTGCTGCAAAACCTACATTGCTCAACCCTGAAACTAAAACCCTAACTACAGTCTCCATTGAAGTTCCTTTTTCAGGTTAAACCAATTAGATATTAAGGATCCAAAAAGGTAACCCCAAAACGGAACTACATCCGAGACCTTAGGTAGACCCTAAACATCCTCAACCCCGATCGGAAGCCGTTCAGCTGCCACAAGCTCGTGGGAAGGCAGCAGTCCTAATCCTAAGCCCCGCTTTCTTCGCTGCATCGCATACAAGCAGAACTTAAGAGTTTCGGAGAAACAGGTGTCCGGGATTAGGGTTGAGGGTGGTGTATGCCACAACACCTGCAGGCCGAGGTTGTATGGAGTCTTCACAGGTTTATGTTGGCTTTTCGGGCTCTGGCTACACACCTTCATCCCAAACCTAAACCCTCAAGCCTAAACCCTCCGCTCCACTCCCAAGTCCGCTGCAGCTGCAAATCGAGGATGGACGGGTCCGAGGGATTCCTGAAGTGCGGCGGCCGCGTGGCTTTCGCAGTGTGTCGGTACGTAGGAGGTATCCTTGTGAGGTGTTTCTTCAACGGCCCACGGTTTCGGAGGTGCTTTTCTGGCCACGGGGAACTTCCTTTGCGAGGTGCAACTAGGCAAGGAACTAGGGGGCCTTGGGATTCATCTCGCTCATCGACGAGCCCCAAACCCGAATTTCAACATATGCAGTCTGAACACTCCATCCACACCCCGACTGAGGGGCCTGGCGTTACAATTAGAGTCTTACAGTTTTCGCTCCGTCTCAGAGAATGGGGCTTTGGTATGCCGCAAACATAAACTATAAAACCCTGCCAAACCTTGAGCCCCAATCCCCTAGACTCAGGATTAAGAACTATTTTGAGCGTTCTGCCGACCACCATATTGACCACTCTTGCTGAGGTACTTGTGGTACCATTCTTGCAACTACTTCGTCCCACTTTTGTTCCACTGCTGCCACGACTATTGCCAACTACGACGAGAAGCTTACTGGTACTATTGTCTCCCTACATCTTACGCCAAGCCTTGAACACTCCTAACTGCGTTGGCATCGGCCCAGACACGGTTGAGTCTTGTTTAGGGTCTAGGGTTTCAGTTCAGGGGTTTCAGGGTTCGCAGGTAGAGGGTCGTAGGTCTCGGGGTTGAACGCCGGACAAACCCTAAACCCTGAAGCACAACATGCAGTAAACCTTGGATCCCTCAACCTCCAAGTTCTGGATCCGAATTAATACCACGATGTACGACGCAGAGCTGCAGCCCTTAACCCGGAATCATGCTAGTCCCTTGTTCAAACCTCACATAATCCGCAACACCTTCGAACAACGACGCTAAGCCCTACACCCCTCAGCAGCAAAACCTAACTAACATACTTGTCCAGTATCCTACAGGAACCAAAAGGTCAACCTCTGGGAGGGAATACAGTGCCCGCTAGCTGAGGCCGTGGCAGCGTGGGCTCGTCCAGGCAGGCCGTCCCAAGTCCGCTCGGGGCACCGTCAGGGCGTGGCATCTTCAAGAAGGCATCCACCTAGGGGCTCATCACTTTAAAATTCATGGGCTCGAATACCGTATGATGGGATTATACAAGGGTCGAATGTTTAGGCTTTGGCGCTTTAGGGTCTAGGTCGAGAACCGAACCCCACAACGTGAACCGGTACGGCGTGTGCCCCAAACTGTGGCTTTGACTTTTCTTGGACTCTTGGAAACCAGCTGTCATACAGCAGCCTACATACTAGGAACAGGTCATGCAATCGTTCGAAATTCGGGGACCATAAGCTGTTGCGTGGCCTTGACATGAAACAGCACATAGTTTTGAAGTACTACTACATGTAGTATAGATATGTGCACATTCCACAGATAGGTGCCTTGATAGTTAGAATAAAGTTGTGGGGCATATCACGCTCTATTTGCATTGGAGAAACCTTAGACACCATAGTATTGTTTGATCAGGCCCAAATATTGGAGACATACGGCAAGGCTGTGGGCTCAGGAAATGCTGGGCTTCATGCTGGGCTTCTAGGTTCGATTTTCACGGGCTACGTTTAGGCCTTGGGGTTTACATGCCAAGCTTAGGGGGGGTGTAAGGTTCAGTGTTGGTGACTAGCGATTTTCCTTCACACCGGCGCAGATGCACATGACCTTCGCCTCACCCACGCTGGTCTCGTGCTCAAGGATCTGACGAAGACATCGAAACTGCGATGAGGTCGATTTGCAAGACGCCTGGATCCTCCAGCCACGGCTTGCGCCTTGCTGCAGCACCCGCACCCCGACGCCTCCGCGGCATTCCTCCTTGTGGGGGCGGCCACCTTTTGGTCGG